TTCCTGAACTTTGGACAAAGTACATAACCCATTTTGTGTATACGTGTTGTTCTCTCTACCAAAGCTAGCTAGTTATTTCCTTAATTGTATTTTTGGCAGGCTATACACTCTGGAGAAATACTACCAGAGCAGTCACCTATCTCGCTGAGAGACATCCACAGAGAAACAGCTACAGGCGTTGATTTGGTAGCTAAACGCTGTCACTGCATGCTAGTACGATCAGCTGGCACTGAGCTTTAGTAAAGGAGAGAACACTGCGTCCTCTCCGCAAGCCGCAGAAAATATTTTCCAGATGGTGGATAGCCATTTCAGACAGCCAGTTTTCACCACTGAGAGGGAGCACTCCGAGCTGAGTTATGGAAAAGCATGGCTTTTGAAGGATTAAGGAAGAATCAGATTCTGGGAGTAACTGCTGACAATTTTATTCAACTTTTTTTACATCGACATTTAGAGATAACCCATGTTATGATACGCAGTGAAGTTACAGTGAAGTATATGGTTCATGTGTAGTTGTGATATAAAATGGAAAAGGTGGCTACAGCACCAGGACTGGACTAGCCAGCTGGGGTTTGTAAAGAAAGGGCTCCAGCTCTAGAAGGGTCAGGCTTCTCAGACCTCCTGACAAAGTCTCTGCTGGAGTCCTGGGAAGGACACTCAGATACAGGGGGAGCAACGCACAGTCTGTCCCAGACGTGGATAAATGGGCACATGATCGTGAGAGGTAAGCCAGCAGCCATGTCACCCTGCAACTTACAATTGGCAGCCCACTGGAGCTCAGCAGGTGTGAGCCTGGTCAGTACCTGGATGGGAGACCTCCTGGGAAAAACTAAGGTTGGTGCTGGAAGAGGTGTTAGTGGGGCCAGCAGGGGGCGCTCACCCTGTGGTCCATGTGGGTCCTAGTGCCCCAGTATAGTGATGGGGACACTATACTGTAAAACGAGCACCATCTCCTTGATTAGATGTAAAACCGAGGTCCTGACTCTCTGTGGTCATTAAAAATCCCAGGGTGTTTCTCGAAAAGAGTAGGGGTGTAATCCCGGCGTCCTGGGCAAATTTCCCATTGGCCCTTACCAATCATGGCCTCCTAATAATCCCCATCTCTGAATTGGCTACATTACTTTGTTCTCCTCCCCCCCTCTGACAGCAGGCGGAGCGATGCCAGTTGGAGTATTCTCGGTCGCATTTAATGGCAACGTCAGCTCAAAGATTTGGTTCAAACCATCAAATGGAGATGGGCGTGCCGCCAAGCGGACCCTGTTGACGCGGGATTAACGCTAAAATGAGAGACAGAGATGACCGTGAGAGGTACCACTAGGGTGTGAGGTGCCAGCTCCTGTTCTGTATGAGATCTGGTTGACGTGTCTCTACTCTGGGCATGAAGTCATGTGTACTCAAGGTGGGCGCTGGACTCTCCCAAGAGCACTCCCACTCACGTCTGACAGGGTCAGGACATCACGGTCTAACTGAGGTACAGGGAGCGTCTGTTCTGGGAGATTGGAACTGGAAAACTCTCAGCTGATAGTCGAGATGGGAGGGGAAAACAAACTTGTACCGTTTGAGAGGAACTAATTGTTGTTAGGAAACTGTTTGAAAAGCTCTGGAAATGCAATGAAATGATTTGTCCTTTCTTAAAGGCACTGTAAGTATTACGCTTGCGCAGATATTGAGGTTTGATTCACCTGAAATGCATAAACCCTGAGCTAATTCATTTTTAGATTAAAAAAAAACAACAAATGTTTTGGACCATGACATTATTTTATACATTCAAAATAACTTATGATTATTAAGTTAATCATTATTAAATTATTACTCTTAATCTCAGAATAACTCATGATTCATTAGAATATCATTCTTATGATAGTTCTCAGACGAAATGATATCAGATACTCCTGCCTCATAAAAAACGTTTCTCTGCTGTAATAAAATCTAATTCAGAGCCCATTAAATACTGGTTTAGAAAGCATACATCTCTTATCCAAGTTCTTAATACCTTTAACTAAGCATTACACTTAAATTTAAAATAAAATGTTATATATTTTTGACATTTTTTGCATTGTAGATGGAGGCAAAATGTTTTTAATATAATTTTAACAAGATAAAAAATAGTGTAACGCAGTAGGTAGGCAGGAGTTTTGTTGAAACACACTTTAAATGCTGAACACAAACTAAATTGTTAACCGCAATGAAGAGTTTCACATATGAGCCCCGCATCGCGTGGAAAAAAAGATAAGATCATTGCTTACCTAGGGCTTCATGCAGATGGCAGGCAATCAGATTTCAATTTGCAAACACATCTTTCCGAGTCAGTAGCAAACCACAACCACTCACTTCACCCACACCAAACCCAGAACTACAGTAAAAATGAAAACTGTGCAAATAATTTGCAATAAACATGTCTAAGGCTCTTGAAAGTCTTCAGATTGTTATCGATTAGATTTTATCTGCTCAAAGAGCATACAGAGAGGAAGATATTAATATAGTCACAAATGATGCAGTGCTCTACAGGAATGATGCAGATCAGTGCTTCTCAAGGTCTCCTGATTTTCCTGCCAACTGAGAGCTCTTAACTAAACTTTCTGAAACAACACACTGCTTTCTGCATTCAGCTAACTCTCACTAACGATGTCTATCAAGTGAGCCCCTTCCTATAAATTACCCTTGAGGTATAAGTTAACACTTTATTTTAAGGGTGAATAAATGTGGAGTGATATGTGGATTCTGCTTTGCATATCTGACCAGTGTTTGAGCAGCTCAGTCAGATTTTTCTGGGTCTTCCAGATCTTGCATTGACTTCAAGAGTCCCCTTTAACTGCCATTTCTTAATGTTGTTTCTAACTTTTTACATTGCAAACTTCTTATAGCCTTCCCTTTCTTTGGAAGAGTAAATTATCTTTCTTTTCACGTCCTCAGACAGCCTAGGAGAGGAGCCCAATGTTGACCAAAAGTTTTCACATGCCATGTTGTCTTTCAGTTAAATTGAGCAGGTAAATAGTAATTCTGCAATATAGTTTGCAGAAGGATGCTTGGTTTAACTTTGTACTATGTAGAGGTAGTATCACCTTCTGGTCACTTAAAGATTTGTTCAAACACAATTTAACCAAGGGCACCTAAACCTTTGGACACAACTGTACATTGATGGGTAGCATGGTTGGGCAGTGGTCAGCAATGCTCACAGCACCTGGACCCCAGATGTCTGTGTGGAGTTTAACTCATTTAACTCTCATGTTAAAACAGTATCTAAAACATGCTTTCTACTGTTAAGAAATATTGCAAAACTAAAGCAGTTTCTCTCCACTCAAGACACAGAGAAATTAATACATGCTCTTGTAACAGCAGGTTAGACTACTGTAATACCCTACTATCAGGGAGCACCCTCCAATCTTTCAATACCTTACAATGAATTCAGAATGCAGCAGCTAGAATCGTTACTAGGAGCTGAAAGTACAACCATATAACCCCCATACTTAGCTCTCTTCATTGGCTTCCTGTCAGGTACAGGGCGGACTTCAAAATCCTTCTACTTACTTACAAGGCTCTCAGAGGTCAGACACCTGTCTATCTAATGGAACTTATTAATGTATACCATCCAAATCGCCTGCTTAGTTCACAGAACGCAGGTCTTCTTCACATATTAATAAAATAACAGTTGGCTGTGAAGCCTTTAGTTACAGGGCCCCTAGCTTATGGAACAGTCTCCCACCCTAGTCAATCTCAGGATTCATATCCAGACTGAAGACCTATGACTTCAGCCCAGCCTACTCACACCTTACATCATAGCCTGCTGCAACCATGGCTGCTGGTGCTGCTGTCCCTGCCATTGTGTGTCTCTGTGTTGGCCCACCAGGTAGATACATCTGTTCTGACCAAACTATCCTATTCTCC